ACTTGATCATTGAATGGAAATCACAATCGCGACTAGGTGGTCGTAACACATAATAATATTTATAATACAACCAACAAATCAAGTAACTTTGCATGTTACAACAAGTTATTTATTACTATGCGACCGCAAGAGGTTATTGTTACTCCACACACTTGTCATTCATTCGCCGCGTGATAGGAAACGTATTTATAAACTATAGTGTAAGTTTATACCCACAACTTTTCGATAATGCCCCAACTAATGTGCATTTTATATAATATTTTCCCTGTTTGTCCCTCTTTTATACAGCACAGTACAGGTTGGACTACACAACACAAACTGTTGGATCTCAAATTGAAATCTAAGTAAGCGTAAACCCCGTGCAAAAACTACCTACTCAAAATGTCATTATCTAACAGTCTCAAAGAACACTGAGAAGCCGTTACATACGAGTTAAAATTACTTTTATCGTTACGGTTTCCGAAATTTAAAAAACAATCCAATCCGCTAGCTATACTCGTTTGCAACAGTGTATAAGAATAAAAAGTATTTACCACTACCAAAATGCTTTGTTAGCAGTAGGACAGAGGTGGAAGCTCTCCAGTTGTTTAATACTCGAGCAACCTGAATTTAATCCCAGCGCAGAGAGAAGAGAAATTATAACTGTAATTTATCACGTGGAATACTTTTAATCTAGTATGTTGTATTAAAGGTGGAATGTTTACAACATTAAAAAAAGACTAGTGGAATAACTCGAAGAACCTATGTAGATGATAAAATTCAAATCATCTTCAGAAGACTTAAAAATTATTCAATAAAAGAACCCCAACTGTGGTACGAAATAAATTATGTGAAAGCTACCCTTTGGCGCAAAAAATTCACCATCTTAATTTAAAAAAAATTGATGTACCCAACCACACTTGCGCAATTTAGACATATCTAAAGGCATATCATTCATCAAAAACACTTCCGCCCTCAGCGGTAGTTACGGGGGAACATAAGGACAGAGAAACATACTCACAGGTCAAACACATAACTCTTTTTTAGCTACGCCTTAATCGAGGAGCAAACGTTTTATGCTCAATTAGTAGCTTCGTGTTTGAATCAATTATTTTAATGTTTTTTACCTCAGCATTTCGTCATTTATGAACCGATTTTAAAAGTTATCTTTGCAAGGGATTCGGTTTAGCTACCACGTGGTCCCATAATTTCATTGGTATTTTTAGTGGATCTTGAACTCCGGAGATGAATCATTGTGTATGATATATTTGATATGTGAGTGAGATATTTGAAGTAGTTATTGTTTTCTTTTTTAACATAAATGAACTTGTTTCATAACGCGTACCATTTGTCAATCCATAGCCGGCACACGCCAGTGGTAGTAACACAAAGGAGCTAACGTGACGCTTCCCCATTGAAGCGTACAAGGCCGTCCCGTTTAGAACGCTGCGTCTGCCTACAGCCCCACCAGCGACGAACACTGGCGGAATATTGATACAATACAGGTATGGGGACGATCTGTCCGACTGACAAATTGTCTATAGACTCCGGGCCCGTCCACTGATACCCGACATAAAGAACAATGCCTGCATTTGATTTTCGTGGCACGTACGGTGTTGCTGATGATCCCATGGGGTGTAAACCTCGCAAAGAGATACACGTATGCAAAGCACGTTACATTCCTTTCCGCATTACAGTTACCTATTAAGATAAATTTTTACACACAAATAATCGATAGTACTTCACTCGGCATTCCGAGAGATCCCCTAAATGACAATGAACGTCTCGTTAATACCATATTTACGACGAAAATTAGGCGCGATATAAATTATTTATCCGTTCTTAAAATATATTTCAGTTATAATAGGCAATACATCTAAAGGCAATAATTTAACACATTATCGCGCATCGCTATCTGAGCGGGAAGGCGGTCCGGCGCTTGAAGGAAATAACAAATCATTAAGACATTTAAGAAGCACTCCAGAATATTTAAAGCAACTGAAACTGAGACTTGGCATTGTCCATCGGTAAACCATAAATAGTTACAGTAATACAACATTTTGAGGGGAATACCGATTCTGCTACTCGTGATTACCACGATACATTATGCACCAATGATTGTTTGCGTTACAGATTGTTATTTTTTACTTATTGTTTCCTTTATCAGAACGTTTATACTTAACTACAAGGAAATTACTCAGTATTATAAACTTTGCTCTAGTGGACAAATACTAACACACCATAATAAAGAGTATCGACATAAGGCCGCCGCGACCGTGTTATTTATCGATAAAAGCGTATTCATAAGATTCAATTTACGATAAAAATTTCATGAGGCTACTTCTAGGATCTGACGCACGACCTGTCCGCGGGTGACCATTTATATGAGCAACGTGGGATATGAACAAATAAAGTATGGACACAGACGGAAATTGAAAACATAATATAATCTAGGTAGATTATTCTGTTTTTAGGTACAGTGCCTTAAACTTTAAACTAAAATAAATTAGAGACTAGGTTGTTTGGCCTTTATGATTTTTATACCCGATATTTATAGTAAACACGTCATCTCACTATTCAATAAGTAAAACCGAATCAATAACACTTTTAAAACTTTACTTTTCAAAGCGATAAAATACGTAAAAATTAATTTAATTTCACAACAGTTCTCACTAATTTCTTCAATGTTTATAGTCTAACCTAAAATTGTTTCTTAAATAAAGGCATTGTCCTTTGTGTAAAGTATCACTGCCTGTATCGCTTAGGTACTAAAAGCCTATAGACAATTTGTCAGTCAATCTCGGCTAAAGTATTATATTGTATCAACGCTAGTTATACATAAATTAATACCCACTGTATCTTGATCGGAAATGAGTCGTTTTTGACAATTCCAATAGTTAATCTACAGTCGGTCAATATGTTTGAAAATAAATAATGCACCTAACGACATTCTGTCCTTTCCTGTGTGTTCCTGTTTACAATTAATCGAATATCCACTTAAAGTTGAAAAGATGCTCGCATTGCACATTCAACTTCTTCAGAAGTAAGCAATGTCGTTAAGCTTACAACTCATGCATTAATTCGATGTTAAGTTCTCTTTACTTATTCCGCTTAAAGCAACAAGAGTTTTTGGTATTTTTAAACTTCACTGTATTTTTAGGCGACTTCAAGTATATTTTAATTGGTAAAATAAATATGTGCAAGATCATGACAAAATGTGTATGAATTGCGAAACACTTCAACGAGAATATTCAAATTCCACCTTTTTGCTAACACATTAAGTAACACTTCTTACCCCATATTTAATACGTATTATTTTACTGCGTTTAACTATTAGTGTCACAAATTAGTTAAACAAATTTTGGATTCCTAAAAATCAGATTGGACGGCAACGGGGTTAAAATAATATCTTAATATACCCGCTTCCTACGCTCTCATAAAAAATATCTTTTTATACGTGGTAGCGCCATGCAACAGTCTTCGCTGTTGCACGAATGAGAAGGCTGTCCGGGGACTTGGTATTTATGGATTCCCTGCTGCTAGATCGGAGAGCGGCAGGGGTATGTGGGAGTCCTAACGGGTAGCCACTAATAACCCACGTTGCACCTGTCTCTGTTGCCTCGGCCGGGACACGGGTACACGTAGACGCAATCTTCCGCGAATCCGGGGACTTGGTACGTACCACAACCTCACAGAAGACCGGCTCGAAGTGGAATTTTTATACTTTTGCGTTTCGTCTGGTGAGTGTGGTAGTAGGTGCCAGCTTTTTTTAATATTGTCAGCGCATATAAAAAGCTTGCAGATTTTGTAATGTTCATGGGCTGCGGATATCTGTTAGAATCAGGTGAACCACAAGCTATCATGTCAGCCACCATGTCATCTTGTATTGAAACAAAGTTCAAAATTCTTCAAAATAAAACAAAACAAAAAAACCTCTCCGTCAGTATTAGTCTGAACGGACAACTAGTGCGGACAACGTGCGCACTTATTTCCGAGATCTGAGATATTTCTATCGCGTAAAACAGTTGCATGATATTTGCAACTATTTTACGCAATAGAAATCATAGAATAATGCTATGAAAAGGAATCAACGGAACCAACGGATTGATCTTCAACTAAAAATATCAAACTGGACTGGTTAAATACAAGTAACGATAAAAGCTTTTATAGGATCAATATTTGGAAAGTGCATGAAACGCTTCACCTACACACATCCTAACGTAGAACGGGTAAATGCAAAACACAATATCGCATAATACTCGGTCGTTATTGGCATGCGGCAGTTATGCGTTGCTAGCCCTCTGCGGTCCAAATTCCAGAACTGTTAATAACATAATTAACTAGACCAGGTGGAGATGGTAATTAACCCGACTGTACCGGTGAGGTGTAGCGTATAAACGGGATAATTATTAGTGAAATATGTTAAGAGCACGAGAGTTAGTAGTACAAATAGTAATCTTATTCCAAAATATACACACTTTGTAAAAAATAATATAATTGATCCTAAAATAACATAAGTCTAAATAAAGAAATATTTTATTACGTGCTTTCCCTAATGACTCACTACCTCTCTCACTAATGTGTTAACCAAAGCTCAAGGCGAGTTCTCGCTTCTAAATCCACTTTTCAACCCACAAATTCGACTACTTCAATTATGTACCATCTAATCTGTATACAATGTACAATGTTACTTACTTTTCTTATCGGTCCCGAACCGATCTTCGTGCCCATTGCATCGCCTATCTTCATCGTACTCGTAGACCTTGAAGCTGTCGAAGGAATACAGTTTGACGGCTTTGTTTCGACTCTTCGTTAAACGCTAAAAGCCTCTGTTCGACTGCAGATCTTGGTAGTACGGTCACTTGATCGCTTTACAACGAACGCGGAGTATAAAAACTCACTTTATCACAAGTTGGCCGACGTCGAGCCGAGTCGGACTTTCGACGTTTGCGCGAGGACAATAGCGTCGATAAACAAGTGCGGGAAGTGGGATTACGCGCGTCGCATTGTCCGGATCGACAATGGCCGATGGTATTCGAAATAGGAATCTCCGCGCGGCCGATGGTTTTGTTCGAAATTCAAATCCGCGCTCGCGTTTCTCGGGGAGCTCTCGGGGAGCTCAGTCGGGCGGGAGCGCTCGTCAGTGCGGCCGCGTGACGTCTGGCCGGGCTGCAGCGCCAGAGCCGTCGCGCCGGCGCCCGGAATTGTGTCAGACGCGGCACCCGGAGCACCCCGGCGCCCCGGCCTTCCATGAATACACCTCGCTCCGCTTTACGCTTAACGCATCAATACACCCGTTACCGTATGCACTCACGCCATTTAGAATTCCCGTTTCACTACATAATCCCACACTGTTAGGTAAATAGAATACCCCAACAAATAATACCGTTTAAAGTACCGTTTACAATTAATTTCCTTGTCAGTAAAATACCGAATAGTCATTACTACTTTTATAAAATGAAATTCCCGAATATTTCGGGATAAAATTTTTTTGTCAATATGACGATCGCAGATCTCAACAGATTTCGGATAGATTTGATGAAAGTTGTAAAAAGGACTCAATAAAACCGCAGTAAGGAACAAAAAGTTGTGAAGAAATACCAAAATACACTTAAATCAAGCTGAAATACACTGTTAAGTGGAAACTTATGTAATAATAAAAAATATAATGAATTGGCTCAAAGACGTCGTCGCATGGCCATGGATAATATTTTCTATGTTAATATCTTCTTCTTCTTCAGCGTGTGTTCGCCCACCGTTGGGCATACGCCTCCCCAATTTTATTCCATTTGGCACGACTCTTTGTTTCCCTTGTCCAGACTGGGCCTGCTGTCTCCTTTATGTCATCGGACCATCGGGCTGGTGGTCTGCCCACACTTCTCCTGCCTAGCCGGGGTCTCCACTCCAGAACGCGCTTGCTCCAACGTTCCTCTTTTCTTCGGCACATGTGTCCGGCCCAAGCCCACTTTAACTTCGCTACTCGGTGGCCCACGTCGACCACTTTCGTGCGACGTCTGATGAGCTCGTTCCGGACTTGGTCCTGTAACGTTATGCCGAGCATGGCTCGCTCCATGCTGCGCTGCGTCACCTTGAGCTTGTGGATCAACCCAGCAGTCAGTGTCCATGTCTCGCATCCATATGTCAGCCGGAAGAACGCATTGATTAAACACTTTTGTTTTAAGTGATTGGGGAATTTTGGACTTAAGCACGCAATTCAGCTTCCCGAAGGCTGCCCATCCCAACATTACCCTTCGCCTCATCTCTGCCATCATCGAGTCCCGACCAAGCCTTATTACCTGTCCTAGGTAAGTGTATTCCTGCACCTGCTCCAGTGGTTGCCCGTTTCAATGAAATGGAGTTCGGTGTGAGATCGGCTGTTGCCATAACCTTGGTCTTCTCCATATTCATCTTAAGACCTATTCGCAGGGACGCCTGATATAGTTGCTCCAGCATGTGTTGCAGGTCTTCAGCGTGCTCAGCAATTATGACTATATCATCAGCGTAGCGCAGGTGACTCAGATATTCACCATTGACATTTATTCCCTTGCCACTCCAGTCCAATGTCTTGAATATGTCCTCCAAGGCGTTGGTAAATAGCTTAGGGGATATAACGTCTCCTTGTCGGACTCCTCTTTGAACTCGTATACGATCTGTTGACTCTTTCAGCTGTACTGTCATTGTCGCCGACTTGTATAAGCTCTTCAGAAGATGTATATATCTGTAGTCTATGTGACATCGATGAAGCGAATCGGTAACTGCCCAGTGTTCTATGGAGTCGAACGCTTTTTCGTAATCGACGTAGGCAAGACAAAGAGGCCTGTTGTATTCTTCGCACTTTTGGATGATCTGTCGAAGTGTAAAGATGTGTTCTATTGTTCCAAAGTCTTTTCTAAATCCTGCCTGTTCCCTGGGTTGATGTTCGTCCAGTTTTTGTGTTAAGCGTGTAGTCACGATTCTGGAGAACACTTTGTACACCTGACTTAAAAGTGATATAGGGCGATAGTTTTTAAGAAGGGTTTTATCCCCTTTTTTATGGAAGAGAACAACGATGCTGTTTGTCCATTCTTTAGGTACTTCTCCAGTAAATAGGACCTCGTTGAATAGCAGACATAACTCCTTTATAACAGCCCTGCCTCCTGCTTTCAGAAGTTCTACAGTAATGCCATCCTCTCCCGGAGCTTTTAACTTCTTGATTTGCTTCAGTGCTTGCCTCACTTCATTTGTATTGATTTCGGGGAAGTCATCCGAGTAGTGTCGCATGATGGGAGCACGTTTATCGCTTGAATCAACAGAAGTAAGCTGTCGTGTGGTGGTTGAGTAGAGACTGCTGTAGAATTCCTCGATGATTTTCTTAATCTCCTGGATGTTACTTCTTAGGATACCATTGTTATCTCTCAGAATGTTTATTTCGTTAGCTCCGTAATTTCGCTGAAACACTTTGAAACCCCGGTTTTTCTCTATCAGCTCGTGGATTTCAAGAGTGTTTTTTTTACGGATTTCACGCTTGAGAGTCTTGTGAATCTTTTTGTTTAGCTCACGATGTGCATCGCTGTTAAATTCATCGGCTGCTATCTTACGGCGTTCTTGCATCATGTTTTTCACGTTTTCTTATATGTTATGTTAATATATAATAATAAAAAAGAATATTAAAAAAAATCGATATCTTGCAGGGTTCAAATGATTTGAATATTGAAATAAACAATAATATAAATTTTTTGACATTTTTTTATTTTAATTTCAAAGTCTCTTAATAGAAAACATTACGATAATAGTAACTAAGTAGTAGTTTAACTATTTATTAAAGGTAATACAAATGGATCATAATTACGTCACAATACAGACGCAGTACAATGAACAACAACTTAGCGTATTTTGATCTGCTTCTGGATGAACTTTCAAAAGCCTGTTAAAATAATATATAATAAATTCATCCAAACCAAATATTATATTAGAAAAATGGAATAAAAGAAGCAAATATATTAAAAAAAAGAACAATTGAAGTGGAATTAACGGCACAAATCACATATCATCAGTACGACTAAGGAAAACGACGCGATAAAGTTTTAATTATACATTCATTACTATAATCAAAATAACCATATATCAGCGATAAGACGGGTGATACAACTCAATAATTATGAAGATAAGACTTCGAAATATTTCGTCGCTCCCTGAAGTTAATTAATACATTCCAAACAGCTCCGTATTATCGCTTATTAATAAATTTCATAATAACAAAGTCAGAAAAACAACCCGCTGTCACGTCTTGATATTGATATAACAGTCATTCGGAATATAACAGCGCCACCGAGACAAAGACCTCTGTGATTAATCTCGCTAATTGAAGATAGGGCACAGTTCGAAACTCGGAGAAATTGTCTCGGATAACGATGTCGCATGAATTTATGAGCAAAATTCATTAGACGCCACTGACATGAACGGAACAAAGAAAAGACTCTCAACTATTTCTGCTGTACGGATAGACAAGACAATAACATACAATCACGCTAATAATTTAAAAAAATTAATGAAATCAAACTTGTAATAAAACATTTTAGAGGTAGACATCTCTTAAGATCGAGCACAAAAATGAAACGGTAATTTCCCACATGTGAAACTTGCTCGTCATTGTTACCGGCGAGACACGAGCCGCGATGTGCCGTTCACTAAAATATTATTGCTCAGATTTAAATAAATGTAGAAAGTAAAATGAAAGCAGCGTACCAATAATACGCTTTTCTTAGTAACTCATTATTAATCATTTATATAGTAAACATAGATAGGATTTAAGTGAAATATGTAATCTAGACTAATATAATAAAGCTGTAGAATTTGTTTGTTGGTACGCGATAATCTCTGGAACTACCGGTCGGGTTTGAAAAAATCGGGCCGCATTCTTAACGAAGGTTATAGGATATATAACATCACGCTACGACCTACGGGGGCTCCATTTAATATTGCTCATCCTTAATTGTAGACACTTAAAGATTTCTACAGAGAACAGAACATATCATCGACACTAAAAAAAAAGTCGAAATAAAAAAAACATTCGACAATATGTATCACATTGAAAATGTTGGTGCAACTATTAATATACGAAGGAAAAGAATAAATGTATATGTAGCCGTTCTATTTTAATAACTTTCTCCGTGATAGTGCGATAACAGCTTACATTAGCTCCGGCTGCACTTGTAAGGCAGCTCGGCTGGGAAAGTATCTGTGACTCACAGAGGACCGACACGATGCAGATGTATTTATGCTTTTGCCTTCCGTCCAGCGAATCAGGAAACTGGAGAGCTTTACTCGGTGGATGGCGACACGCCTGCAAAATCTCTGGTGGTTTAAAGCATTATAGAACGGCGGGATCCCGGAAGATTCACTTCACCATGTGAACGGTTAGCTCGTTTGAAATGACAAAAAAAATTATATCCCGGTAAACTCGCCGCAGAAAAAAAAACCCAATGTAATGATTCTGATCTACACAAAATGAAAGAAATAAAAAAAATTAAGGTCCACTCTATTTTTGAAGACATTTACGATGCCCATGGTTTATGTATTAATATCGTAATTGACTTTCTGGGAACACAGCATCTTAACACAATAGCACAAACAAGTATAATTTATATGAGATTTATCACCTGTAATAGATGCGGAATTCTAGTAGACTATGTTTTTACATAATTAACCCCTCTAAAATCAATTTTTAAAAATCATCCATTCTGTATCCACCCCCTCTAGCGCACTTGATACCAGCCAGCTCTCTTTTAGGGAGCATCCTTGCTCCATTGTAAGCACAATCGCCCGGATCACCCTTCCATACGCGGCCATTCACAATTTCCTGAATAAATCTCTTTATTCTTTACGAACCATTTTCATTCATCCGAAACCGCAGCGACCTGTATAATGCATTGAATAGTTTTATTTATTTATTTAATCTTTATTGCACTAAAAATTCTACAAAGGCGAGCTTAAACCTATATTGCATTCTCTACCAGCTAACCCTAGGTAGAGAGACATAATGACAAGGGCAGTAAAGTAGTGGTGATCGGTACATAATCAAATATTATTATATAATAATTAGCTAATTAACCTAAAAAACCCCAACAAGCAGCTACAATAGTAGCTGCCTTAAGCCTTCTTGGGCGAAAAAAATCTTGTTTTTATTCCCTTTAAAGTAAATAATAAGCATAGTCGTTTAATTACTTTCTAATAAAACAACGTCTTTTTTATTTATCGGTTCGTCAGATGGTAAATGAGGAGCGACGCCGTTAGACGCTCAACCATAGAGTATGGTGACCTCACTCAGCGGACGAAAAATATTTTAACTCCTCACCGGTCTTCTCTGTGTTATATAAGCTAACATATTCCTAAAAAAAAATAAAACAATGCTATCAATTGTAGTATTATGAGAGTGAGGCAAAAAAAAAGGATATGTCCACAATAGTATAATGATGACGTAATCCGTGAAAAAGGTGGGCACTAAGATGGTCCACATTGACATGAATATTATAAACAACCTTCAACTAATTATAACCACGACCGCACCGCTGGATAAGTCAATGTCGTCTTATGTCGTCTAATGTTCAGCCTATTATATTCCCAAGGTGTTATAAGTGCGGCGACTGTTATAATAAACGACCAGACAAGACATTCGAGAACAAAGACGCCCGAGAAAAAGACGTCTTTAAAAATCGCAACAAGCGGAGCGAGGAACCGACGAAGGCGCCCCACGAAATTCTACGGATTCCATTGAAACAAAGTCAAACTTTGACAAGTTTGCGAAAAGCTATTTATTGTTCGCTCGTATTTAATGAAATATAAGCAGTTTATATAAAACCTTTTAAAAATTTCCGTTACTTCAGACATATTATGAATATTTACGTCAACGTCAGGGTTCTATTATGCGATTTAAATCACTTTTTAGTATAGTAATTCAAATTGAGTGACTTGAAGCCATCCCCATTTAATTCAACAAAACCATCCAAAAATGAACAAGCCTCTTAATTTTTTTTTTAAAACTAAATAAAAATGAGAAATATATAAAATACATAATAAATGAGAGAAGGCAACAAAATTAGTTTTTCTTTAAGGAATTTGAAGAACAATTGTACGACTGCGACTAATTATGCCACTGTACAGTGTACTCAAACAGTTTTGGTAAATTTTTAGAAATTCTTGATTGTCTTAACTCTCGTTTGTCGACGTTTTGTCGAATGTGAATAATATTAAAATTTCAGAAGAACTGATTAATTTCTGATTCAATTCAGAAGTTGATTCTTTTTAAACCGACATCGAAAACGAAGCAGGTTCTCAATTCGACTGTTATTTTTTATGTTTGTTACCTCAGACCTTTCGACTGAACCGATTTTGATGATTATTTTTTTATTTGAAAGCTGGTGCCTCCCGTGTGGCCCCATATTAATTTCAATGGTATTGGATCTTAGGCTCCGGAGATACTTAGGGAACTGCTCAAAATCAATTGTAAAATGAATACAGAGCGAGATGTTTGTAGTCGGTTTTGTTTTTAGTTAATAAAAAATTGACTTGTTTATAATTACAATGAGATTTTTTTTCAATAACAACGAACTACCGAATAGATAAATATTAAGATACATGAAGTCAATAGTTGCGACTTAGATTTTTGTTTTACAAAAATCATGATTTTTTATTATATTCATAATGCGTAAGTTGAGCTTATCCTTGCTTTACATACACATCAGATTAGATCGGGATGGACCAAACGACAATAAAACGGAAAAATTTGAGTATTAGCGTAAACATTAGAAATTATTATGTCAACGTTCATTTATAATGTCTCCATTTTTGCGCTCATAATTGGAGCACCTGTCCGATTTATGTGACTAATATGAACATAAGTTATGTATTTAAAAAAGTTGAATCTTCTAAACATTTGAGCACTACTGGTACAGTAAGTTACAACGCAAATGTGTACTCAAAAGCAAGAAATGTGTTAAAACCTTGTCAAAAAGTTTTTATTTGCAACCTCTAAAACAAAATTTCTTAGGTCTTACTTAAAACTTGCTTATTTTAGATTGCCTATAAAAATGTCTGTATAATGAAATACTATAAGATTTTAATTGTATAACTGGTTTTATATGACTATTAACACATATGTTGTAAAATTAGTACGATAAAATAATTAGGGAAAAAGTGTATTTTCATAGTGTCATCGTAATTAATTAAATTTAATTATTTGTAATATAGTCATAAGACCTCGAATTCTTTAAGGTAACGCACCAAGAGGGTGCCAAAGAAAAAATGTAAGCTCTCTGATTGGATACCAATACGACAACCAATCAGAGAGCAGGAATTAATTCCCACAGGATCACATAAATATAGCGGCGTTTCGGGGCATCATCGCAGTCGACGAGCATCAAGATCTACCAGTGGAACAAGCAACTAGAAGAAGTCAGCAAGAAAGAAGCCCTGCAGCCTGGAAGAGGAGGAGCCTGCAGCCACTAGAAGAACGTTTTTATTGCATAAGAAAAAACTTGTACAAACGTCTGAAAATAAACAGTGTTCTTTCTGTCTTCACGACATTCTTGTTTCTTTACCAATCCAGCACACTGAAACGTGCATTGCGCACAACAATAATCAATAAAGTTTTACGATTATAAACGGATGCTACTAAACGATCGGAAAAAAATTAATTCCAAAGGTTTCCGGACGTAAAGTAGACACATACAGCGAAGACGAAATTTTTTCGTAACGTACAACTTACTAAGTATCTAGGGACACCGCAGTGCGACATGGCAGCTGCTTGGACCGATATCTCCGGGAAGCAATCTGAAATTTGAGATTCCATCGAACATATGTTTCAGTTAGGCGCACGGTAGACATTGTATTTGTGAAATATCCAACACGAGACGCGGGTTTCCTACAGAAATGGTCCATTCGTGGGTAACAATCAACGCAAGAAATATTTTAGCTAGAAATTATATTGCTGGACTGATCCAGAAGAATTGTCATGATTTTTTACGTAGCAATGGGAGAGTTATGGGAGTATATACCCATAAATATTCAAGGCATTGGGACGTTTGCAAATAAGTTGACGAATATTAGATAAATAAGGTCCTCGTCAAAGGTTCCTAAGCGGAATGGGCCATCGAATACCGTAGGCGACACGTTATTTCCCAAAATGAACGCGCGTGACAAAAACTTCGATTTGCAATGGCATTTCATATAAATCAAATATCTGATCATAAATCGAAAAGAGACTTATCAGGGCCTTATATAAATACATAACTTATCAAGTCATAATATAATGAAGCCTTTACTGAAACATCGCTAAACTAAAAGTTATTAAAACTCAAAGTCTTAGGTCTGTCGCAGTTATGGGTCAGTTACTCAGTATTACATCAGTCAAAAACGACGAAGAATTATAAGCTTAGGAGTTAATAGCGGTGCCGGTGCTATATCTCTACATCTCTACCCTATACAAACTTGTGTAATTTAGATTAATTCTACGTAAGACTTCACTTTGAGTTGAACTGCAAGTTAAATCAGTTAGAACATTTAGTACGAAAAATTTAAGCTAAGTAAAACAAACGATTAAGCCGAGAGATGGTTATTTATTAGCGGGTCAAATAAATCTCCATGATATTTACGAGCACAAAATCGTATAATACAATTCGTAATAATAATTTCAGATGACTGTAAATAATAACTCATAAAGTAGGTATAATAAGCTAAAAGAATATTCCAAAAGTGGTGTTTGAACTACTAAAACAAATTACACAAAAGCGTATTCTACATTCATCTCGTAAACGTCAAATCGTAACAGAGTTTACGAAAATTAAAGGACTCGTTTCCTCGTAATCGGCTGCAAAGTTTCCATTTGTCATCGTTTCAGTCAATCGGCCTCTGACCTTTGAGCGAACGTAACAGGGCGCTAGCCTGGAAAGCGCCGTTTTAAACTAGGACGAATACACTGTTTACTTTGTATCAGTAACTTTGTATTTGCAAAATACATGAGATGGAAGTTTAATATATCTAATCTGTCAGTCTTAACGCATTCGATGATTATTTAATAGACAATACTTAAAATATGACACGCATACCCATCTAAGCTCGGAGAAAAGGATGAAAAAATAATCGCAAAATAATACAAGATAATATTTTTGGACAGAACCTAATACTAGCTTCAAGTTCAATTTCGGTTATGTACTTCTATTCTATATTCATATTACAAAAATCCCACAGCTAATTAAAAAAAATATGTTTAAAGTTATTAACTTTAAATGAAAAATTTGACGCACATTTAGATGATAGGTACCAAAACAAATTAAATTAATCGCTAAGGACGTTGGCCATTTTCATAT